CAGTGAGACAAAGCCACAGGCCACTGGGAGGTCCAGGTCACAGGTGGGACCCAGCCCACGCCACATCCTGGGGCTTCCAACTGAGACAGTGTGAAGGGAGGTTGGGACGCAGTGTCAAGGACAGCATGGCCATCCCCCTCCAACACTCGGTGGCCCTGTGCCTGGGTGTGGTCCTAGCCGATTGACTCTCGGGAAGATATTTATGATTCATTATTATTTATTCTTTACCAGTTTGGAGATCACTGCTGAGTACATCCTCATTACACCAGCGGCAGTTAAGATGACATAGTGTGCAAAAATTTAAGAAAATCGTAACTTTGAGTTCTACTAAGTGGTCTGTTGTCTTTCTACAATGCCTGTGTATGTACAGAAGTCAAAATGTGTGATCCCATCTGCAGCCCTGAAGAGGACGTGATTGACACCTCACCCTCAGACGCCCGCATCACGTGTTGAAAGCTTGGCTTCCAGGCGAGGGCTTCTGTGTTTGTACCCAAGCTCGCCTTCCATCTCAGCATGTCGGTGGATTCACAGACAGGCATCATGGAGATGGAGATGGAGATGGAAATACAGGGACTTCCTGTCAGCTCCTTTTATAGCTTTAAATACTCGGAACCATAATTGTGATTTTGTGCATAAAAACATACTCTGGCGGCTTCCTGCAGGCCCGGCGCTGTGGGTCCTGGGAGTCACAGGATCCTCACATCCCACTGCCGATGCCAGCCTGGGCGTGGCTGTGTGCAGTATGGCATTGGTGGCCACCATCGAGGGTGATGACCGTAATGCTGATGATGATGACCAGCGGGTTCCATGCTGCGACCAACACCCTCTCCTCTGTGGGAACCACTGTCCACCCCCTGCCTGCCGCTCCCTCATTGCCAGGCCACGGGAAAGCCACAGAGTCCGTGTGTGGTGACTCCATAGCCCCAGCAGGTAGGAAGTGCTGGGAGAGGGACTGGGAGACAAACGGCACTGTGGCATGGCCTCCTCCCTGGAAGACACACCCTGGGGTCCCTGGGACCCTGGCCAAGTCACTCTAAGGTGAGGTCAGCTCCAACAGCCCAGCCATCCACAGGACCCTGAGAAGTCATGGGGATGGGTGGGGAGCAGGGGCAACGAAGAAGGCCGTAGAAATGTCACCCCCGGCTCCCTCTTCCAGAGCCAGGGAGAGACTCAGATGCTGTGCCAGAGATCTCAGCTCCAGCCAGCGGCCCGAAGCTCCTTGCCACTCCCCCGCCCTGCAGAGCAGTGACCCGTCCTCTAGGTCTCCCTACCTCTGACTCTAGGAGTCCGTGAGCTTCCTGTTGGCCAGTGCTAAGCCCCAGAGCCCTGCCCACAGAGCCTGGCAAGCCCAGACCAGACGCGTCCTCCCTATGAGCCAGCTGGCAGGCCGTGTCCAGGCAGCGCAGCAGCCATGTGCTCCACCCAGTGCTTCAGGACAGGAGGCGCCTGAGGGGCCAGGAAGCAATCCCAGACCTCAAGGGAACCAAGGTGTCCCCGAGCCCCGGGCTGTGGGAGGGAGGGCTTAATCACAAACGAGAGGGCCATGTCTCTGTACTCCCTGGTGACCAGGGCCACGCACCATGACTCCAGGGGGTCAGCTGCTCATGTGGGCACTGGCCTAAGGCCTGTGCCATGACCCCGGGACAGCACCCTGCCTCCTGGGTTCAGGCTTCTCAGGCCCTGCCAGACCCCGGAGCCGGCTGCATCTGGGAGGAGGGTGATGGGGATATCCCTGGTCACGAGCTCATCGCTGCACGACGTCCTCCTAAATAAAGTCCTTGGTTGAAGAAGACCCTGCTGAGAAACATGGCAACAGAGGGGTCATTCCACCTCCATTGTGGAGACTGTGGAGATGGGAGAAGCAGGTCCAGCACTTGAGGGGTACTTAGTTAGGAGAACAGGCTGTCCCACCGACAAGAGAGGATCCCACATGACTGGCCTGCAGAGGGTGCCCAGTGGCCACAGCCTTGCCAGCCTTGGTGAGCACTGCTGTCCAGCTCAGGTATCCCTGCACCCTCGACACCAGGGTGGCTTTGGTGTTGGTCAGTAAGCTACACTCAAGGAATCCAGGGAAAGACACCGGCCAAGGCACTAGGACCACTCTCCATGTGCACCCCGCATTTGACCCCTCACTGCAGGGACACGAGCTTCTCCACACCCTGCGCCATCCCACTGCTCTGGCTGGATGCGGCTGAGTGGTCCCCACCGGCTGCACTTGCTGGGAGCCTGGTCTCTGCTGGGAGGTCCCTGAGAGGCGAGGTCCAGGTGTGCTGGGCGGGTTCCACCACTGTGACGGAATACCCAATGTAAACACATGCCAAAAGAGGAAAGGTTGGTTGGGCTCAGAGTTTGCAGTTTCAGTCCCTGTTGGTTGGCCGGTTACTTTTGGTCCTGGGGCAAGGTGGCACTTCATGGCAGGGGCATGTGGCAGAGGAGGTGACTTCACCTCATGACAGCCAGCAAGAAAAGAGACATCAGAGGGCGGGGACCCAACATCCCCCTCAAAGTTCCCTCCCAGTGACCAAGCTTCCCTTGCCTCCCCAAAGTGCCTTGGACTGGGGACCGTGCCTTTAACCCAGGGGACCTTGGGGACATTCATCATCCAATTGATTGCAATAAGTCATTGAGGGCCTGTCCACAAATAGGGTTAGTGCAGTTCACATGGGGACCCAGGTAGAACCTGCTGACTGGTTCCTGCAAGAGGCATGACAGACCTCACCCTCTGACCTCCTGCCTCACCATGTCACTGCTCCTTGTCCCTTTCTCTTCTGCCACTGTGATGCCATCTGCCATGAAGCCTTCACCAAAGCTCTCAGACTTCCAGAACCATGAGCTAAATAAATCTCTTCACTGCAAAGATTGCCCGGCCTCAGGTATTTTGTTTTAGCAATGGAAAGCAGCCCTTCACCACTGACCTTCAGGTCTCACACTCGCCTGGTCAAGCCCCGCCCACACCTCAGGGCCTTTCACAGCGAGGAGGACACAGTCCACAGAACTGCCGTCCTCTACAGCTTCGGTTCCCTGCACAGACTTCTCTACAGATGCAGGCCACTCTTGATGGAGCAGCACTAGAGAGGTTCATTGTGATCCACCTGCACACCCCTCCTCTGTTGGGAGGTGCCAGGGAGCCCAACCCCAGGCAGAGGCCACACACCGGGAGCAGCCCCAGGGGATGCAAGAGCTGCCCAGGGCACCTGGTCCAGGCCTTTCCCTCCCTGTGAAAGCCTCGGAGCAAGCCCCACGTGAGGCTGGTGGATGAGCTCCAGCTCAACGTGGCCAATCAGGTTGCGGCCGGTTGCTCTGTGGTCAGGTCAGCGGCCCCTGCCAGGGCATGGGCTTGCCAGCAGGCCCTCAAGGGGCACCTCTCCCTGGTGGGTGGGAGAGGGCCTCACCTCCATGCAAACCCAGGGGCCCAGCAGCTCCTCCCACCCAACCCCTGCAGCACCTGGCCACCCTGCCTGGGCCGGGTGCACCCACTGGAGTGCCCCACGAGGTGGCCCTCCCACCAGGCACCAGCAGACTCGCAGCCCAGAACGGCTGGGCCAAGCCTGTGCCCTCTCCAGCAGGGCAGCTGCTCAGCTTGGTCAGGCCGGGGCCCTCTCTCCTGGGCTCGCTGAGCCCTGTCTGTCTGTCTGTCCTGCATTGCCCACGGTTGCCTGAGCTCACCAGCCCCGGCTCCTTCACCAGGAGAGTCACACCTCTCCCCATCAGGAAGGTCCCTGTTGGGGTGACGGGCGGTTTCTAGCTCCCACTTGGACCCGACTGGTCCTGAACTGGCACTGGGTCCTTGGAAGTCTGGTCCTGCCATGCTGCCTGAGCCGTGGCCTGGGCAAGCTCGCTCGGGGCCCTGAACCGAAGCCCAGGCCCAGGCCAGCTGGAGTCGCTGACATCGGCAGTGACACACCAACCACTCAGCTGTGAAGGCCAGGGCATGTCCCAGGAAGGTCCCAGCGACATTCTGGTACACGGGGCAGAAATGCTCTCGTGCGTACTGAGGAGCAGGAGGCAAGGAGGCCCTCACTGCTCCCTGAGGGCCAACAGAAAGGCCATCAGCCTTCAGGCAATCACTGACCTGCAGGCGTGAAGAGCCCTCTCGCCATCTTTGCCCCGCCCAGGGCTGGAGAGCCTGCCAGGGTCCAGGGCCCTCACCTCCCGCGAGTCACGGTTCCCACCCCAGTCTTCTGAGACCTGCGTCTCCAGTCCATACGATTTTACTGCTTATGATAGAAATCTCTGCCACAAAGACACACTGGCTTAAAATATTTATTGATTAAAAAAAAATTTAAAATTTTTATACAAAGATGATGAGAAAAATCTCATGCAAACTCTGGGCATACGATAAAAATAACTCAAATATTAATATGATGATTTTGTACAAAATAATTCTCTGTCGTAGGACCTCTGACGGAAGGCCAGCATGGCTCCTTGCCTCTGGCCGGGACGCCCCTCAGGGAAGAATGGGCAGTCACCTGTGGCCACCGCAGGTGGTGCGGGGTCCACGTGTGGAATGTTCTCTTGTCACTATGATGAGCGATGAGACCCTATTCTACTACTCAGAAACGAGACAGAGGCCAAGGTGCGCTGGAGCGAGGGGACTTCCGGCCACACAGAGACCCCACAGGGCGGAGCAACTTGCAAAGGTGCCTGGAAAGTTCCAGGTGATCTTTTCCATGAAGAAAACACCCCAAGATTATTATAGATGGTTTCTCCTCGTTACAAACCTGCAGTGGGCTTATAATTTGTGTATATTACAAGTAATTTATTTGCATAATTAAAACAATTAAGGAATCAACAGTATCATGGCAATTAGAAATGCGTCAAACTCGGAATGTTGTACAAAAGAGAGCTTCAATATGAAACAGTAATCCTCTGAGAAGAAGCCCCCAGGCCTCAGCCCCCCACCACGTGGAGGCCCGCGGAGGTCCCCGCCGGCTGTGCTCCATGCCTGGCCCCTCACCACGCTCTAAGCTGCCCGTGGTCTTACTGAATTTTCCAAAGACTCATCTCATTTTCCGTAGCCTTAGTCTGTTTTCTTTGTCCCGTTTCTTAAGGATAAGTATAAATTGGTTGAAAAAATGCTCCTGATCCTTTCTTTTCTGAACAAGTCGAAACCTCTGATCCCGACCATACTTCTCAGCAAACTCCTTAAATGTGGTCCTGAAAAAGAAAGAGTTCTCTTTTTATTTTTTTTGGAATGGGGATTCAATCCAGGGTGGCTTAACCACTGAGACACATCCCCAGCTCATTTTTTATATTATATTTTGAGACAGGGTCTCGCCAAGTCCTTAGGACCTTGCTAACTAAGTTGCTGAGGCTAGACTCAAACTTCCCATCCTCCTGCCTCAGCCTCCTGAAGCAGCACAGAAGGAACTGGATACCTGAGGGATTTCAGGGAGCAGGTTTATTGGCTGCAGCCAGTCCACAGTGCTACTGGACACTCTAAAACATTCTCTGGACCATGAGTCTAGAAATTGTTTAAACTTTATACCCAGCATGGAGGGGTGGGGGCTTGGAGTTTCCATGTAGGAGGAGTCTATATAAAAGTAACATTTTTTTCTGTCTTTGAGTTCTCAGAAAGTGCTTTTAGACCAGACGTTTTATAAGTCTTTACCAAGAAAAGAGAGATAGTATCTTTTGTACAACAAGCTTACGGACCCTAACCCTGTCACACCTTTTGTGCACAAACAAGGCATTTACAAGAAAGAGGAACTACCGACCTCAATGACCTCTGCAGACATCCTGCTGATCTGAGAAGAGGAGAAGCTACGTCATGGCAGAGCCTTTTGGGTGAGGGTTTCTGGTCTGCTTCTCTCCAAGTTGCTGGGATTATAGGCAAGCACCACTGTGCTCAGCAAGAAAGAGCTCTGAGAAGTCTTCCCTGAGAGCAAACCTTGGTTCCCCTGACCATGACAAGGACAGGCAGCCTGACTTGAGACAGAGAAAGCCCCCAAGGGACAGGGTGCTGCAAACCAACAGGCTGACAGGGAAGCACTGGCCTCCTGCACCTGCTGCCCACGCTGGGCATCACCCCTGCAGACATGGCTCCAGGCCGTCCCGACACTCCCATCACTCTGCACCCCCTAGAGTCTTCTCCCCGCTGCTCCTGCCACGCTCCTACCTGCCGCTGGACTTGGCATATGCTGTTCCCTCTGCACTCCCTTCCCTCTTTTCTTCTGCCCACACCTCATTAGAATCCAGGGCCAGCATGCCTTCTGTGGGACACGCCCTCTCCAGAGGCCCCAGTAGCTGGGACCCACTCCCCCTGGCCCTGGTCACAATTGAGATCTTGTTCCACCTTAATGGGCAGTGGGTTGGACCTTGACCCTGCAGTGGAGCTCTGTGATCCCCCCACTGGACACGCTGAGTGTGCAGCACGCTGGGGCAGAGCACCCAAGGTCAGGGGTAACCCACCTGCTAGGCACCGAGTCCTTTAGTGGAAACGTAAGGAGGCCAGCCTGGGCCAGCGAGGCCAGGCTCATGGGTGGCGAGGGGGACGCGTGTGGGCCGTGGGTCTGTCCTGTCAGCTTGAACTTGAAGCGGGGGACAGTGACAGCAGAGGGCTGAGGCTCTGGTGGGCTGCGTGAGCCACTGTCCTCCTCCCAGCCACAGACAGGCCTCAACCCGCCGGCCGCCAGGGCCCTCACCAGGTGGGGCTCCTGGGGAAGTGCCCAGGGCACATGGAGATCAGCTCAGTCCCTGTCAAGGGTTTCTCGCCATGTCCTCCTTTCTCTCTGCAGAAGATTTCACGTTTCCTGCAGGCGTTTAACGACTGTATGAAATGTAGCTGCAACTGCACAGCTTCTCACACCCGGCAGGACCACTGCCACGCTGCTCACACCTGGCCTCACCAGGCACCCAGAGGAGCCCGCGCCCTCCTCGGCAGCTGCCAGGCCCCGAGGCCTCCTTCCTTCCCGTTTTCCTCTTCCTGGCGGCTCCCCTTTACCCCTTCCTCTCTCTCCTTCGTCCTCTAATGGTTAACAATTGTGGGCCACAAAACTAGCATGCTCTTGTGCTTCTCCACTTCCTGCACCTGACAGGTGAGGGCTGCCATTGTACAGTCTGCCACTCCTCTGCCTGTCTGCTGGGGACAGGCATGCCCAGGAGCCTGCACAGGGTCAGGACATGCCCAGGAGGCCTGCACAGGGTCGAGGCATGCCCAGGAGGCCTGCACAGGGGCTAAGGCCTGCCCAGGAGGCCTGCACAGGGTCGAGGCATGCCCAGGAGGCCTGCACAGGGGTCAGGCATGCCCAGGAGGCCTGCATAGGGTCGAGGCATGCCCAGGAGGCCTGCACAGGGGTCATGCATTCTCAGGAGGCCT